GCGAGTTGCAATCGCAGATTCAGCTCCTAACTAATTTAGTAACGGCGTGCTGCGGGACAAAGCGTTTCCTGGTCTTGACTGGAGGGTATGCACGCAGGAGACGGCGTTAATGGGCACTGCACCATATCTCGCTACAGCCAAAAGGTTCTGTTCGGCCTGGGGAGCATTTTGCACATTGGCTAGTTTCTGTTGTTAGTTCCTCAAACCGTTCAACCTTGGTGAGATCTGCGGCTCTTGTCAAGTGTAAACGAGGCTCAAGCTATGGCATAGCATTACAGGAAACCACAGGTCCCCACAGGTGGCATCGGGAGTGATCGGTGGAGGCCAGCAAAATGCCCCCATCAAACCGAGCTGCTCCTAGCCAAAGTACTTGATGTTTCGTAAAACACATAAATACTAGCCTTGTACTGCGTCTCCTTCTGATCGTCGGTTATCGACATGAACGGTGGTCGTCCGAAAACCATCTCGTAGAGGATTACACCAACGGACCACCAATCACAAAGCTGTGTATGACCTACAAAAGGACATCTCAGTCGTCCATACCCAATATTCATCAAATTATTCAAAGAAAATCTATAAATTCCATACTAAAATTGGAAAAGGATTGGCAGAGTCGACAAACCTAATCAATTATTATCAGGAACTGAGCTATCAAGTAATATCTAGAAGTCGAAAAAAAGAGTCCTCACCGATCTTCAAGATCACCTCCGGAGCCATATAGTTTCCAGTTCCCACTACGGAATGCGCTTGGTCACGTTTCTTCTGATGGCGTACGTTCAGCACCTAGAAGTCAAGAAAATCAAATAAAACCTTTTTATCGACATTATTAAGGGCGCGTTCCGCGATAGCCAATAGGCGGAGACCCATAAACATTCCATCCTCCTCACAAGCGCCCCACCTTTTCAGCGTATTGAGAGGAGGGACAACAGCAATGAAGATGCCACAGTGGTTTTGAGTCTGCGCGCATTTCTAAGCCCAGGCGATTAGCGCAGAATATATATACCTCCACTCCACCATCGACTGATTGTGAGTTGAAAAATCGATAGCTAATTTATTGATTCCGACCAACCTTCATGTTCTGCTCCATTGCTGCTACTTCTGATGGTAAGGAGAAGGAATCGACACGGACATGTGCTGGATCAGAGACATTCTCTGGACCATAATACCTTAAGGAAAAGGACACTATCAGCTGATAGGAATCAATATATGAAAACAATCGGTAATGTCATCATTATGTAGTTAGCTAAACAATTTTGAAAAACTGCGTTAAATGTAAGAAAAGTGACGATTTTCAGAAGGAAAAATAATCAGTAATACAGCCTTATTACCTGCGGACGCTGAGTCTTGTCAGAGGGTGGGGGTGCGCTGGCGCGAGGGCGACTAGTTCTCCACCAATAGTAGAAGCTAGCAGGCAACCACAGTTCGCGGAAAACTGGCGCGCCGAGCAAACCTCGCCGTCTGACACGCCCCAGCATCCTCAGCGAAACATACTGTAGCTGTGATGGCTAGCTGACTTACCGCCTATCGTGGGTCCATCGTAGACCAGGTGCATAGGCCGAAGTCGGTGAGCTTAATATGACCCTGCTGATCGATCAGGATATTGTCCGGTTTGATATCGCGATGAATAAACCCTAATGAATGCACGTAGTCGATGGCACATGTTAGCTCAGCGATGTAGAACCTGAAAGTCAGATCAATTACCAACGTCAGGGATAAAACATGGAAGACTGAGAACTCCACAGTGGGTAAAAGCGCGCAGTTCGGCTTGGTGAGGGGATCCAATGGTACTCATTGCCAGCTATGCTCTTGCGGGCCAGCCTATGAGGCCCTGTAAATTCCTGTAATTGAAACAGGATTACTTCTCCATTTTCGCAGCTTCACCAACGTAAGACCTGACCGTTATCATGATCTAGCAAAGGGAATCAACGAAAGTGCAAAATACCCTCTTGAGCCGAACAGTGCCGATATGTGCCCCCGTTAGCCCTAAGGTAACCGCTAAGGATCATAACTGCTGGCAAATGTCCTCAACGGTTGTTTATTGTCTGCTGAAAAGGCACGATAAAGGAAGGTCTTCCATCCTCGAACCATTGAACTGCTCGGAGTCATGCACGGGATCCACTAGTAGAAACTGCTTACGTTGGGGCACATCCTGGCATTGGGGAGAATCTTGGCTAGACAAGGTTCATACCCCCAGTTAGATAGGGAATTGAGAAAGCTAGGGAAGATTGTAGGTAGCTTGGGGAAAGGGAGCGGGGGAGGGGTCGTATCAGATGAAGAAATCTGGGGTGAGTCGTATTTTTAAAAATGTTTCTCTGCGACGGGAAGCACCTTGTCCACCTTGTCGACAAGAGGAACATTTCCTAGCGAACTTTACCGAATATTTATCGTTGGGCGAGTGGGGGGGGGTGGTAAAGGACGAGGCAAACACCTTCGATCAACTATCAGAAACAGCAGTTTTCCGCCGACCGGCCAATACAGTGCATAACAAAAGTACGTGGACACCCCAAATTTTGACTCTACAGGAACACTTTTGATTTTGGCGAATGGGACCTTCACTATTCAATTCCTCGGGTACGGAAACCATAGTATACTTCACTTCGTAGCATCTTGTGAGCGACTTCACATTTTTTTATTACTGGAAAAAGTTTCTTTGTACCAAAAGTATGTGGGCACTGTAGAGTCAGAATTTGGGGTGTCCACACACATTTGTTTCACACTGTATATGCGCATCAAATGGGACCAAATGTCACCCCACCCCTCCTCTCCCTAGCCAGATACTACCTCCATTAGAGAACCGCCCATAGGAGCCGCTCTTACATTCGAAAACCAATCCTAACATTATTTTCGTTTCCCACGCTCTCAAAAGGACATAGAAATCAGAAGACGGAAAAGGGGACGGCTTCTGCAACGAAATCCTAGATGCATTTTTCAGACATTTCTGAAAGGGACTGAATGAAGGAAGCAATCATTCCACGGCTATACGACAGTCTCGGGAATCGGAAACCGAAAAAAGAAACCTCCGGCCACGCCTCGACTATAAGCGAAATACTCTTCGGCACTTCTTGGAAACAAACTACCCACCGTGCTAGTTTCTCTTCGAAAACTCCTTTGTTGATCAGCAGCTGCATCATATCGCCACCAGGGACGTACTCCATCACGAAATAGAGGCAACGATCGTCTTGGAACGAGAAGAAAAGCTTCACAATCCAAGGAGAATCAGCCTCGGCCAGAATGTCTCGCTCGGCTTTAACATGTGCGGCCTGAAAATCAAGAACATTGCAACAAGGGTGCAGATTCCATAAAAGCACCGAGGAAAAATCACAACGTATGCACCTCAGAACCAGTAAAGAGAATCTAGACTCCGCCCACCTGTTGTTTCATGATCACATCCTTCTTCAGCAGACTCTTCATGGCATACACTTGTCCGGAGTCTTTCTGAAATTATTGATGATATCTGCCATTGATCGATCAAGAAGAGAAGAAGCCTTTGCGAAGGAGAGGAAGCCCCGCCTACCTTCTTCACTAGGGAAACTCGTCCAAATGCGCCCACGCCGATATCACCA